CTTCCTTCCTTCCTTCCTTCCTTCCTTCCTTCCTTCCTTTCTCCCTTCCGATCCTTCATTCATTTTTATCATTTTTTATAACAACTCTTGAAAGGTTCTCCGCCACCTCCAGCTAATCTGAGTAGCACTCACGTGAAAATGACGACAGTGACACTTCATTGGCTAACTCCCTTGTATAATGAACCATATGGAATCACTAACTACGCTGTACAGTACAAGAAGGCACACACAGACATGGAGTATTACGTTGCTGTTACAGTAAATTCAAATATTACAAAAGTAAACGTCACCAGTCTAGACTCAACTACAAAATACCTGATGCGTGTAAAGTCTGTTAATGATTATGGGTCTGAGGTAACTGAACCAATAGAGATTAATACTCTAGGTAAGTGTCAACTTTACGCTTTTTTATTTTATTACTAATAACACGTGAGGGTATTTTGGTTCAGTGAAGCTTTCTTCAAATTCAAAAAGATCTAGACTTGAGAATTCATTTATTCTGTACTCGGTCTGTAGCGAGATTCTTTGTGAAATTCCCCTCGAGGGATTTCCTTGATTTATATATGATTTCAAAATAAAATAAACTCCTAAAGTTTGTCTGTCTTTCCTCTTATTTGTCTGTCTGTCTGTCTGTCTGTTTTTGGTTAGTTTCACGATGTGTTGCCTTTTGTTTGGGTTTTTTGTTTTGTTTTATATATTGGCCCTTTTATGTTATCTACGTAAATGAATATTAGCAACAACAAAAAAGAAAAAGAAAGTTTGATCCTGATATTTTTACCTGCCATGCTTTTCATAGTTTAGTTTATTTTTTTCTTAAGCTCCGAAAGCCATTATCCCCGAACCCCCATTACTGGTCATTGCTTTAACTTCCGCAACACTTCTGAGTCTAATGATCGGGACTGGGCTTGCGTTTTGGAGATGGTGGTATAAGAAGCGCAAAGAAACCAAGGTACTGAAAGACACACTCGAAAAGGTAAGTGTAACATCCTATGTATTTTAATTTCTTATCTCGTATCCTCCAACCAGACCACCCCTTCTCCACAAAAGCACACATCCAACTACAACCTCTAAAGTTTACATTGTATTATCATCGAATTCTTGTCTGCTAGGCATATATTTATTGTTAGAATTCATTACGGTTATAGAGGCAATAAACAAACCGGCTTTATACCTGATGCTGAAGAAAGTACTTTCCTAAACCTCGGTCTTTTTTCTTCGCGTGTGACTTTTTATTATAATTTCCTTGATTGTACTGTTTTCTCACCACTACACGTTTTCGTAGCTTCGAGACAATCCATATGAATCAGCTGTGGACTGGTTTGGTGTTCTTAAGATCAAGATCACTAAGCAATGGTGGGAGATACCACGTGATGACTTGACACTCGACAAACATCTTGGGTCGGGAGCCTTTGGTGTCGTAATAAAAGGATACTTGACGAAAAGAGAGGAAGGGAATAACGAACGACGTATCGCCTGTGCCATTAAGATGTTAAAAGGTAAAGCTGAGTGAAAGGATCCTTAAGCAATTGTAAGTTTGAAAAAATGTGAATTTTGAATTCTTTTTGTTATGTCAGACAATCCAACAGAGCAAGAGTTGCGTGACCTGTGTAACGAAATCAACATCATGTCATCTGTTGGTGATCATCCAAACCTCGTCAGTTTGATTGGGGCGTGTACCATAAATGGTATGTACGTACCATGCGTATTAAAAACTAACATACCACGAAGATGGAATTTTTTCAGCACTGCATATAATATCAGGCACATTGACCGACTCGTCAAAATTAACGTATGGGAAATGAAACCTTCAGTATAATGGCTTAGTAATGGACTAAAAGTAGAGCCTGAGGGATTGGACTCGAAAATTTAGTTGGTTTTCGCAAAGTAGGGCAGCATAAAATCCGCTCTCTAGCCCCTCCTTCTTAGCGGTCCCAGCCTTGTATGTTTTCCCATATTTTTATTCAGGTCCACCATTGTTGGTGATCAAGTTCGCACCAAATGGTTGTCTCCATGACTACTTAAAAGACAGTCGGCCTTTACCTGATTATCAAAACACAGGTTACATGAGGTCAGGTCAAATGAGAGCAGAAGAAATATCCGAGAAAGAGAGGATGAAGTTTGCTTATGACATTGCGCAGGGGATGGCACACTTGGCGAGAAACAGGGTAAGTACTTTAAAACAATACCAAATATYCAGAGTACCCAGAAGTCTTCATGGCACTACCCACTAGATCGAACTTATACAAGCTTATAAGCAGCCGACTGAAAGATAGGAAAGGAGATCGATATTGCTTATATGACTGATAACGTCTGATCGAACTCATACAAGCTTATAAGCAACCGACTGGGAATAAATCTTTTTTCACTAAGATGATCGCCTTACTGTAGAAGATTTAAATCTAATAAAAGATGGATTGAAAAAAAGAAAAAATCTTATGTGGATAAGATGGGATTCGAATGATAATGATTTAATGATAATGATAATGATTTATGAATTTATAAAGCGCCCTTTCTATGTGAATATAATCAAAGGCGCTTTACATTGAGGAGTGAATGACAGATTGCTTTTATGCAATTTACAAGCATGAGAGATGGTTAGTATGAAGTTTAGGCACTGAGGGTGGTCACTGCCAGGGTTTCTTTACGTCCTCAGTGGTTCTTTTACGTCCCTCCTATGTTGGTTAGTAATGATGAGTGTGKAGAGACGGGACCGCCATTTAAAGTGGTCATCCGAGCCACTTGAAAGTCTAACCATTTGCAGATGTAATTACAAAGGCAGCACTTACTCCTCAGTTATTTTAAGACCCTGAGTGTTGGTCCGGCCGGGAATCGAACCACGACCTTCCGCACGAAAGTCCGATGCTCAATCAACTGAGCCTACCGGTTTGCGGATAACCCACCAAAAGAAATTCAAAAAATGCGATTCCACTGTGCCATACCCCCGAGACATCCGCATAATAATCATTAACAAAATGCTCACGTGTAAACATTCTTATACGAGGTCATATGACACCCTTTTTTTTTGAAATCTTAGTTTGTACACAGAGATCTTGCAGCTCGGAACGTTTTACTTGGCAAAAACATGGTGGCTATGATTTCTGACTTTGGTTTGTCACGTGATATCTATGAAAGCGGAGCCTATGAGAACACTGCAGGGGTAAGTCAATGTGATTATCCAAAAATATTTTTCGATTTAAAATGTCTTTCCAATCTTCTTGAAAACTTTTTCTAATAAAAAATTGTGGTCCGGATCTTCATGCTAATATAATTCCAGGGTTTTCTTCCTGTTCGCTGGATGGCTCTGGAATCTCTACAGGATTACACTTACACCAGCAAGTCAGACGTGTATGAAAGATGTTTTTTCTTAAATATTTTTTTAATGAATTTCATGAATGATTTTTACTCTAACCTGAAGAGGACTTTAATTTGGAAATATTRATATTATTCTTTTGGTTTTTCTCTCAGATGGTCTTATGGAGTTGTGTTGTGGGAGATTCAAAGTGATGGTACGTTTCTTCCTGATCAGCTAGAATCATTTTTTTTCCTTTTGCCAGCGACCTATCAGTTGCATGGCTTATGCTTTTCTTCTCCTTAGCAGCGTAAAGTTAAGCTAAAAAGCTAGCGCAGTATTAAGCAGGATAGATTTTAAAGTTCTCTATTGGAAATCAAATCCATGGGATGAATCCGCGCATGAGTATCATATCGATAATAATGAAAATCTAAAATAATTTTTATGATTGAATACATTTTAGCAGACCTCCTCGGCTCGTGCGTAATGTTTTCCAATTTTAGACCACGTGTCATTCCATTGAGGATAAGATTCTTTACCTAGTTGTATGTGCAACCGAGCGCAAACCTTAAACAAAGAAATGATACTCTAGGGAATGACACGGGGTCTGAAATGGGACAACATTACGCCCGAGCCGAGGAGGYCTATAACTACAACGTAGATTTGACGTATTTTGCACATGTTACCATTTGTCTGCACATCGATTTGTCCATGATTTGGTTAAAGTGTTCTATGTGTTCCCGTTAACTCTTAGGTCTACTGCCCTATGCTGGGATGTCTGGTTCTGAAGTTGTTGAACGACTACGACAAGGACAACGACTAGAAAGACCTAGCAATACATCACGTGACATGTAAGCCTTAACAATCACTCATGAACAACGGGAGATTTAACCATTATAACACTGACACTTATGTTTGGAATATTACATCCATACAGGTATGAAATGATGTGGCAGTGCTGGAACCCAGATCCCGACCAAAGACCAACATTTGCTGATCTGGTCTATAAAATTGGTGGTCTGATTAATCTAAGTTTGGTAAGTGRCGCATCTGATGAATATTTCATTTTGAGTTTTCCTTTAAATCATATTATACAGCTAGCATTCTTTTGTCATGAAAAACCACAAATATAGATCTGAGATTGAGTCATTTCTTCTTTCTTTTGTTTGTGTGCTCCGTTGATTGCCGTTCACTTGCTTATCTGTATATTCTATAAAACGTGTACGATAATAAGCAATAGGACGTGGACCCAACCCCAGCTAGGTCAAATCCTACCAATCCTTCATGCACTCCAAAAATATAATATATAAAATAAACAAACCAACAAACGAAAACCTTCAAATTTTGTCGAACCTTAAAACAACCTCAGGAGAGGTCAGGACAGGAAAAGGAAAATGTAATTGATCCGCGTATTATTTGAATTTTTCGTTCGTTTTCTTAGGATTACGAAGGAAAAGTACATATCCATCTTAGCAACACTCGAAATCACGATGGTAACCACTCCCTGGATCTCGTGGCCACCTCTCCCAATGCATCAACCACTGAAGTCGAGCACAAAATGCAGGAACCCCGTTATGGAAAGGTCTTTCCTGAATTCAAAGACGCTGGACAAATGATGAATAATTTGGCGATGGCTGGTGAATTTGAGATGTGAATCAATATATCAATCAGGCATGCTAAAAATGTATTGTGTGTTTGCATTTAACAGTTGGATTCCCCTTACTGGTGGAGGTCCGGAATTAGATTATTATGGTCTTTGATTTTTGCGTAGATATGTGATAATCAAGGTTAATTTTGACGTCAACAAAACGTTTTTGTTCAGTGGAAAAAATAGATTTAGCTTTTTTCTCACTCTTGGCTATGTTTATCAATAGCTAATAGACTTGAAAATTATGCCATTTACTGAAAAACAACACAACAGAAACAGTGGCAGTAACTGGCAACAGCATCAGCAACGACAGCATCAACAACAGCAACAACAACAACACTGAAGCAGTAGCAGCAACAACAGAGCAACAACAACAACAACGAAACAACAGCAGCAGCAACAACAACAACAATAGCAGCCGTAATAATAAATAACAACAGCAACAACAACAAAGCAATAYCAGCAACAGCAACAACAAGAACAAAGCAACAACGTACAGCAGCAGCAACAGCAACTTTAATAAGAGCATCAATAACCACAGCTGAAACAAGAACAGCAACCACAATAACACAACAGAAAAGATGGCTATTATTTAAAAAAATCAAAAAGGGATGATTAGAAAACAATTTAAAAATCTAGATCTAAAACTCTGTTGACATGAAAATATAAAACTCCTTTTTTAAAGGGAACGTTAGTGTTCTACAGCCTTTCTAGCATCATTAACGCGATTTAAAACTAAACAATACCAGCTCTCTAATCGCGATCGACTCTCAACCAGCCAAATATCCACACCTTTCAATTATCAGTTATTTACTTGATAACCTACTACGAACGTTTCCACTATCATCCTACCTATCCACCTACGTACCTATAGCTTTATGACTTTATTTACCTCTTCCCACATATCTACCTACCTACCTACCTACCTACCTACCT